CGCGTTTTCACCTTCGCCCTGGGTTTTGGCACCTGAGCTTTATCGCTTGTAATACACATCAAATTCATGTCGACGTCCGGCGAAACAGTGAAGCGTCGTTTCTATTTATATTTGTAAATTCTTTATACATGTAATCATTTTTTTTTAAAAAAAAGAACAGCGAAGCGTCGCTCGTCGTTCGCTGGGCGGCGCCACGCCGGCTTCTCCGTCTCCGTCGCTGTTTCAGTGAGTGTGAGTCCGCGCGTCAGTGCCGGAAGCTGGAATCTTTTTTTTTTCCCTGCAAACGGATTAGTGAGCAAAGAGGCAATACCCTGTTACATTGATTTCACTCCGAATGGCTAAACAATGAAATATGAACATGGTCTAATGTTGTTAACCTGCTGGCCTCTTGCTCATATCATTTAATGCGTGTTTTATCTTGCAGCTCTACACGCAGCATAGATCTAATGCTTTCTTGCCTGGAACTAAATAACTAAAGCATGACTCGTGATGTACTAATTCATAACCGTTTTAGCCCTTTGTAAACCGAGCTACATCTATACCACATGTCCTGTCTTCCCCTGGCCTTTTTTGTCCCTGGTCTGGTCTGTTTCTCTCTCATGGGGTTCCTGTATCATGCCAGATGATGAAGGCACCTCCTGTCCTGCTCTGGACGTCTCTCACTTTCACTGTCCTCTGTGCTCTGTAGGAGGAAAGTAACTGAACAGCACTTAATAAAAATCGACCTTGTTGCATCAGCCATCTGTTCTCTCTCCATCAGCCTCTGTTCTTGCTTCTTGTTCCCATTATCTGCCATTATCTTATTTTTCAAAGACATTAAGGAAACATCAGAAACATTAACACAGAACAGGGGCACCACCAACAACAAGTTAAATAACAGACATTTTAGAGAAAAAACCTCAGCGCGAGCTGTCAGTAGGGATAGCGTTGAGTAATCTGAGAGCTTGTGGGAAGAAGCTGTCTCTGGACAGTCGTGCCTTTGCTCTCCTGTAACACTTACCAGAGGGCAGGGGGGAGAAAACGAGAAACCAGGATGACTGGTATCCTTAGTGATACCCCCAGCCTTCCTGAGACAGTAAGTTATAAAAATGTCTGAAATAGAGGGGAGCTGTGCTCCAGTGAAGGACAGGGCTGACCTGATCACCCCCTGTAATGCCATCCGGTCAGACAACGAGCTGCTGCCAGACCACACTGTGATCCCTCAGGTGATGCCACACTCTCAACAGAGCACCTGCAGACTCTGGTAAAGACAGTTGAAGACAGACCAAACTTTGTTCGAGGTGTAAAGGACCACATGATAACTGATCTACATGGGTCCAGAAGGAATTTTCCGTCACTTTCATGTTCCGGATCCCACTACTGGAAATACCAGGGTGACGCGCAAGATCAGATTGACATCAGGGGGTTTGCTAGCGAGGAGACTGGGGGTAGCTGACTTGAAAGGAAAATTCAAACCTAAAACCTGAAATGAAAAACTGACATTTCCTGTTTACAAAACACCTCTGCAGCTTCTCGTGCAAACCGTTGTTCTTGAGCTGTCAAGATCAAAGGGCTGTGCTGAGAAACAGTCTGTCTGGGATGTGTGGTGAGAACTAAATGTGAATTCACTTCACGTCTTCAGATATCAAACAGGTGACATAAAGGGCTTAACTCAGCCCCTTCTAAGCCCTTTGTCTCCTGTAGACCACCTTCATTATATAATGAGACAGACTCTGTACTCACCAATACCAACTTCTGAAGAGCTCTGGACTGACCATCCCAGAGACCTGCTCCATCACACACTGAGACTCTGGACTGACCAACACCAACTTCTGAAGAGCTCTGGACTGACCATCCCAGAGACCTGCTCCATCACACACTGAGACTCTGGACTGACCAACACCAACTTCTGAAGAGCTCTGGCCTGACCATCCCAGAGACCTGCTCCATCACACACTGAGACTCTGGACTGACCAACACCAACTTCTGTAGAGCTCTGAAGACTCATCATCCCAGACCAAGAAGGAAAAAATGTTTTTGCTTTGGGTCTTGATTTTGAATGTTTTTGAAGGTAAGAGGAGACCTAGAAAAAAATGTATCACATAAATATAATATGTATTTGTGAAATATCACACAAAGTGATCTCCTGTCGTATTAGCTGTCTATTACTCATTATCTGATCTCTCGAACTGTATCCTGTCCTGTTGTGTGTGTTTATTACTGTGGTATGTTCTGTGATCTCCTTTCTCTCATGGTGTTTCCAGTCCTGTTGAGTATTTTCATTACAGAAGTATTCTCTGTGAACACCTGCTGTGTCTCCTGTCCTGCTCTGTGTTTTGACTACTTAGGGATTCTCTGTTTTTGTCTCTATCTTTTTTAACTGTGTTTCCTTTCCTTTATCACTGAGGGATTCTCTGTTATCTCTCCTCTCTCTCATTGTGTCTCCTGTCCTGTTGTGTGTGTTTAGTACTAAGGGATTTTCTATGATCTCCTCTCTCCCTCTCACAGTGTGTCTCCTGTCCTGTTGCTTTGTGCTTATTATTGAGAGATTCTCTGTGCATTTTTGTCTTTATTACTGAGGGATTATTTGTTGTTACCTCTCTCACTGTGTCACCGGTCTTGTTATTTTAGTTGATGCTGTGTCAACATTGTTCTTCCCGGTGTCCAGCTCTTTCCATAGTGGTCAGTCAGGGTGTGAAGGAGGGACAGTGGTCCTAGATGACTGATCTCAAGCCTGTTCTGTATTAACCCCTCTGTCTCTCTCCAGTGTCCAGCTCTCCTCTGTCCAGGAGCTCTGTAGTGGTCAGTCAGGGTGTGAAGGAGGGACAGTGGTCCTAGATGACCGATCTCAAGCCTGTTCTGTATTAACCCCTCTGTCTCTCTCCAGTGTCCAGCTCTCCTCTATCCAGGAGTTCTATAGTGGGCGGTCAGGATGCAAAGGAGGGACAGTGGCCCTGGATGGTGTATCTCAAGATTGTTCCAAAACATACAAAGCAAGAAGGACACAATGAGTGTGGAGGCTCCTTAATCAGTGAGCGCTGGGTTCTCACGGCAGCACACTGCTTTGACGAGTGAGTGCTGTGTATAAAACTGTAGCCCAATACTATTAACACAAACCACAGCAGGCATCCAGCCTGCAGTCCTGATCTCTATGTCTGGGCTCTATTAACACAAACCACAGCAGGCGTCCTACCTGTAGCTTTGACTTCATCGGAAGCTTCTAACTCTGAGGCTGTTCGAGATTGGGGCCGATTCTGCTCGATCAGTCAGGGGCCGTGTTCTCTCTGAACCTTTGTTCCAGTACAGCCACAATAACATTTTCTAAGCATAACACAATTGGTTTTAAAATGTGGCAAATTAACAGGTTTGTACTCCAGCCTCTCTGAATGTATGCAATTCCACTCATACCACGGTATCCAAATCCAAACTCGTTCCTAAAAATCTGTTTGAAAGGCGGGAGATTGTAAATTAAAAATAAAATTTCCATTATTTCTTATTGGGAAAATTCTACCCTGTTCTGAGCCGGAGACAAGTTCAAAAACCACTCTAAACATACAGTATAATACCATACAGACCATTATAGCAAGCTTAGTGAACAGCGCAGATCTATTCAAATTAGCCAACTATAGCTGTAAAATAATCAATGATATCGTATTTACATTTTTCATTCTTTCCTAATGGAATGGTGTGCATACTGTTGTCGACTATCACGCTAAAGAATCTTTTTCTCTTCCTTAAGACGCCATAATGAGCAGACACTACAAAACAAACACAAGAAGAACACTTTGAAAACGAGAGCACAAGCTTTCGCTGTGATCATAAACAAAGCACTGCTGCCTCACGGCGTCCTTCACCACAATGCCAAACAAGCAGCTCTTTGGTGCCACTGAATCCAGACGTTCGCAGAAGGTTCTCAGCCAAATCTTTTGAACTTCAAAGTTTGGATCAGCGAAATTTTGTTCTTAGAAAGAATGACAAGGTACAAATTCAGGTTAGCAAAAATTAGTCTATCGAACATTCTTATTCCGGGGTATGAGTGTAGTTGAAATTGCTAGGTAAGAACTTTGACTAAAACTGTATCTGCTTTGTGGCTATTTCAGGTTGTTAATATACAACCTAGAATTCTTCGCTGGAATTTTTCCTGACCGTGGCTACAATGTTATCAAATAAATTACAAAATAATATGTCGTGTCATCTCATTTGCCAAACTGCTTTATACCATACGGTGTCGCGGGAAGCCGGAGCCTACCCGGCAAGCAACGAGCGCAAGGCAGGGTACACCATGGATGGGACACCAGTCCATCGCAGGGCAAGATCAAGCCAATCACACACGGGGATAATTTGGAGGCTAAGGGGGGAAATTTGGCCCAGGCACGGGGATAACTCCCTACTCTTCTCAAGAAATGCCCGGGGATCTTTAATGACCGGTGAGAGTCAGGACTGGGTTTAACGTCTCATCCAAAAAGACGGTGCCCCCTATACCGGGGCATTAGGACCCACAAGACTGCAGGGTGGGTGCACCCCTCTGGTCCCACTAACACTTCTGCCAGCAGCAAACCTAGCTTTCCCAGGAGGTCTCCCATCCAGGCACTGACCAGGCTCAACCCTGCCTAGCTTCAGTGGGTAGCCAGTTGAGAGCTGACGTGGCTGCTCAAAGTAATATAGAATATCATAATGCAACATATTACATAATAATATCATATCTGAGGGACAGAACAGTGCTTACCATTGCTGTCCCACAGTGCTGATGCCCTGGGTTAGAATCTAGACCCAGGGTGCCTTCTGTGTAGAGGTTGCATGTACCCCATGTGTTCAAATAGGTTTCCTCCCAAAGTCCAAAGAATTGCTGGTGGATGAATTGGCTTCTGGGAGAATTGTCCCCGATCTGAGTGTGTGCTTGTGTGTCTTCCCTGCTCCCATCCAGGGTGTATCCTGCCCTGTGCCTATTGCTTTCCAGGATGGTCTCCAGCTCCCCCACAATCCCGTATGGGATAAAGCTAAGGAGAGAAAATGGATGCATGATATTTGTACGACATGATGAAATGGTCCGATATTAAAACCCACCAACACTGTGAGTCACACCGAAGAAGGCTCCACAGCCGAAATGAACTCTTCTTTTTGGCACAGAAAATTTACCTTTAATTTAAAATAACAATAATTTAACAACAATGAATGATTAAATTAATAATCAATAACGATTAATTTAATAATCATCAACAATTAACAACTATTGATAATATTAATAATTAATAATGGATTGCTGTTATTATTAATTGTTATAAGTATACATATTATTAATAATTATTAATAATTAATAGTTTAAAATTTATTTAACATTTACCTTTACCTTTTACTTTGCAATGATGTGTGCAGCATGGCGACATCTGCAGTGGGATTGGTGTCCATTACAACTAAACAAATGTTTAATATAAAACCCAGACGAGTATGGATTGGGTGCTGTCTTTCTCACAGAGTTAATCAGACGGTATGCGATTGCTTTCAATGCGGAAATGGCCCATGACACCGATGAAGAGGACGAAAGCTCGGTCTGGTAGCCAGTCCGGGCGCTGTGCCTCAGGCCGATTCAGAGCCGCCTCTAACGAGGCTCTCGTTAACGGCCGGCAACGCCTCTGTCCCGCCCGCAGGCCTCCAGAGCTGAGCCAGTCGAGGGCGCTCCTGGGGGGGTACCAGCTGGCCGCAGCCCCCCGACACCGGCAGGTGCGCAAGCTGAAGAGGACCGTCCTCCACGAGCGGTACCGGGCGTCCACGCGCCAGCGCAGCGGGTCCGACATCGCCCTGGTGGAGCTGGACAGTCCGGTGACCTACACCAAGTTCGTCCAGCCCGTCCATCTGGCCAGGGGCTCCGACCACTTCACCCCGAACTCCGAGTGCTGGGCGACGGGCTGGGGCCAGACCGGGGAAGACAGTGAGTGAAGGGTGGGGGGTCTGCTTCGCTTCCATTGGGGTCGCCCCTTCTTCGTTTTGTGTCTCCAACCTGCTCTGCCTCTGACATCCACTAGGTGGAGCTGCAGAACACTGCTTCTTTTCCCTTTTGGGCGGGGGGGGGAGTTTTCAGCACTGGCAGCCCCCCCAGAGCTCAGCAGGTGTGAGCCTGGCCAGTACCTGGATGGGAGGCTCCTGGGAAAGAAGAAGTGCTAGTGGGGCCAGCAGGGGGCGCTCACCCTGAGGTGTCCTGTATTCTAATTATGGGTGGACAGAACACTAATTCAGGATCAGAGAGGCTCCACCTGCTGCTGGTCTCCCATAATATTTCTCCGCTCGAACCTAAGCCTCTGTGTGTCTCACAAACCCATGTGCTCTCCAGAGCTAGCAGTCAGACCAGTCAGCAGACACAGGCGAACTACACGCAAGTCGAACAGTACAAGTACTTGGGGACTGTTCTGGGCTTGTCTCCGTTTTGATCACCCCATAGGTATCTTGAACTCCCACTGTCTAGCTGAACCCAGTGGAAACCTCAGCTACCTCCGGGATTCCTGCCTTCACTTGCATGTTCTGGGCTCCAAGTTAACTTTCGAAGCCGATGTTGACATGATCCTCAAGAAAGGACAACAGGGTCTGTTTTCAGTCAAGAAATGTGAGCAGTTCTAACATTGAAGATCTTTTGCTGATCTTGTTCTATCGCTCCTTCCTTGAATCTGTTCCAACTGTGATCCTGATCTGCTGGTTTGGCGACCCGAATCTGAGAAGCAGGAGCAAACTGGGCAGCCCTGTGAAAATATGGCAGGAGGTCATTGGTGCCGATCTTCCTGCCCTCTGTTGGTCAGGATCTAGCATTCACGTGTTTTGCTTAAAACAAAATCCATCTGTGACGATCCTTTACGCTCCTTGTTTAATGAATTCCAATTCCTCCCATCAGAACGCAGATACTGACTCCCCAGCTCCTACAGCAATAGATTCAAGGTCTCATTCATACCTGTAGCCATATCCTTACTTAACACTTGATTTGGATGCAAACATGGATGCGTACCACCCCATATTGCCCCCTAGGGGATAATAAAGAACGGCTGTCATTGTTGGCTTCTCTTGGTGCCCTCTAGTGGTCGTGCTGGTGTTACTGCAGCCCGTGACCAGGCCTGTCCTTCTCTTCCCTCTCTAGAGCCACTGCCCAAGCCCTACACTCTGCAGCAGGTTCGGCTGTCCATCATGAAGAGGCAGCTCTGCAAGAAGCTCTTCAAGGGCCGCTGGGTCATCATGGCCGACATGCTGTGCGCCGGGTTCCAGCACGGCGGGAAGGACACATGCACGGTACGGGGAGGAGGAGGGGGCTGCAGGTTCGGTGCCATGGGCTTCCTTCAAGCACAGCCTCATGACCTCCCAGCGTGTCCCACCAGTCGTATTTCTTATTTGGAAGCGTCTCGGCTTAGCAAGCACCTCCCACTTGTCCTGCAGCCAGGCAGGAAGTGGGAAGTGATGTCGATGAGGCGCCTGGGAAGTAGCGGTGCAGTGTGGACCGGCAGCTGTCGTTGAAGTAGCTCTATTCTGCCTGACGCAAGAGCTACAACAATCATATCCTCAACCATGAAGGTCAGTCAGACCTTCATTCATATGGCCAGCGGCTGTGTCCCCCTGCAGCTCGGCACTAGCAGCCCCACTGGAGCTCAGCAGTGTGAGCCTGGCCAGTACCTGGACGGGAGACTCCTGGGAAAGCTGAGGCTGCTGCTGGAAGAGGTTTGTAAAACCCACACTGCTTTCAGGACTGGCAGAACTCTATAAGAGAAAGCCAGCAGATCCCTTTACCTGGCTTGCTGATTGGCTGATAGACAATAACCCCAATAAGTATAAAAGAACAAGATGGAGTGATGACTTAAGAGGTAAAGGAGGAGAAATTTTCCAACAACCACATGTCCAGCAAGTAAAGATAGAAAGCAGTCAGTGCAATGTAGTAACAATGCAGTGTTTGTGGGACCAGTAGGGGGCGCTCACCCTGCGGTCCGTGTGGTCCTAATCCTGCAGTATAGCGATGGGGACACTATACTGTAAATAGGTGCCGTCCTTCGGATGAGACGTAAAACCAAGGTTCTGTCTCTCTGTAATCATTAAAAGTCCTAGGGCACTTCTCGAGAAGAGTAGGGGTGTTACCCTGGTGTCCTGGCCAAATTTCCCCCTGGTCTTTACCCCATCTCTGTACTGGCTTCACCACTCTGCTTTCCTCCCCACTGAGAGCTGCTGTGTGTGAGCAGACTGGAGCTTCATCCAGGTGGGGGGACACACTGGTGGGGGTGGAGGGGATAACCACGACCTGTAAAGAGCTCTGAGTGGAGTGTCCAGAAAAGTGCTATGTAAGTGTGAGGAATTATTACTATGCTTCCAATACAGAGGGGAACCCCCTTAACTCATAGCTTCCTCCAGTGCTCCTCCCCTGAAACTCAGCCCCACCTAGGTGACACACAGCAGCAGCCCCGCTACGCACAAGTCAGGGGCAGGAGCTTGAAACTGGACCAGTGGGATTACAGGGGGTCAAGTCAGGACACTCTTTCCATCTGAAGAGATGATCTGCAGTGAGCAAATAGCCAGGATCAAAGTTGATGGACTGGTCTGACGAATGACAGCTCCTACAGCTTGGTCTTCTTACTGGGGCATTGGACTAGAATTTCTGGTCCAGAGGGGATAGTGTCCCCTACTGGTCCACTAACACCACTTGAAGTTATCCCTGTAAAATTACCCTTCTGTGAGATGTGCCCCAGTCAGTCCCCAAAGGGCCCCCCTCTAAGATAAACACCCTCTTGGTGACTTACAAAAACCTTTCTCTGTAGAATGAGGCCGTGTTCGTGCACAGACAGGTAGAAGTGTTCTCCTGTTGGTTTAAAGGAATGCCATTAGAGTGATGGGGAAGATTGTGCTCTCGTGCTCAGAGCTTCAGTGATGTTTGGGAGAAATCCAGACTGGGGACCCCTGTCTCTCTCTGTCTGTCTCCAGGGAGACTCTGGGGGGCCGCTGGTCTGTAAGAAGAAGACGGTGTGGGTGCAGGCTGGGATTGTGAGTATTGGGGATGGCTGTGGAAAGCCGAACTCCCCTGGGATCTACACCCGGGTCTCCAGCTTCAGGACCTGGATCAAGACTCACGTCAAAGACGGGGGCTTCTGGGACTAGAACCTCCTACGCTGACTGCCGGCTCTGCTGCACCCTGACAAGAACCTATCGCCCATCTCAGCTCCTCGCTCTGTCTTTTGCTGTGTCTCCTGTCCTGTTGTGTGTCTTTGCTACTCTGTGACTTTGTCATCTCCTCTCTCTCTTACTGTGTCTCCTGTCCTGTTGTGTGTGTTTATTACTGAGGGATTCTGTGTGATCTCCTCTTTCTCCCTGTGTCTCCTGTCCTGTTGTGTGTGTTTATTATTGAGGGAGTCTCTGTGATCTCCTCTCTCTCCCTGTGTCTCCTGTCCTGTTGTGTGTGTTTATTATTGAGGGAGTCTCTGTGATCTCCTCTCTCTCCCTGTGTCTCCTGTCCTGTTGTGTGTGTTTATTACTGAGGGATTCTCTGTGATCTCCTCTTTCTCACTGTGTCTCCTATTTTGTTGTGTTTGCTTATTACTAAAGGATTCTCTGTGATCACTCTCTCACTGTGTCTCCTGCCCTGTTGTGTGTGTGTGCAATTCAGAGTGACTTCATCAATATCAATATAAGATCATGAATTGCAGGATCACTTGCTCTCTTCTATGCTTGCACATATTTTTCAATAAAGGATAAAAATAAAATGTTTTCCAGATTTTCCACTCTTCCAGTACTCTTTCAGAGGGGGTGTTCTTACTTCAGTGTTGGGGGGGATCACAGACCCTGTCTGGGAGGAAACCCATGCAAATACAGGGAAAACGTATGAACTAACTGCTGCTGGCAGCCTTGAGCCCAGAGTCCCAGCGCTGCAAAACCACTGTGCTGCCCCAAGGATGCAGCTGATTCTACATACAGATCACAGTTTCCTGTTTATTACAGTTCTGTATCTCTTACCCACTTGGTTGCTGCTCCCCCAGCTCTCAGCCACATCCTAAGAGACAATTTTTATCTCTTGAGAAACTGCTGATATAGAGAAAAAAAAAACGCAGTGTCAGCTGCCTAATACAGACTGAGCCCCAGAGCTCTGGCACTGAGGCTGTGCAAGACTTCACTAAGGCCCCCTCTCAAAACTATGATACCTCAGTGATCACGGGTCCGCCTGTGAGAGAGACGGTACTTATGACCAATAATGTATGACGGACCCTCCCAGAGACCTGTTTCTTCAGCCTTTGGGACAACAA